CCATGCTGGTTAAAGGGATAGTTCATCCCAAAATAAAAACTCTGACCGTAATTACTCACCATTATGTTGTCCCAACCCCTTAAGACTTTCATTCATCTTCAGGACACAAATTAATATGTTTTTGATCATATCTGAGAGCTGGATCACTCCTCCATAGGCTTCTTAAGGGATCATAACTGGCTGGTGTGGTGAAGAGATGAGTCCCCCTGAAGAGATGGGTCCCACCTTAGGACCCAAGCGATCCGATTGGTTCAAAGCTAGTTTTATGGGTAATCGCTTTAGTGCCTAGTTACAAATTAGAGAAAATCGCTTTATTATAAGAGACGTTTGAAGTACGTTATAACGAGTCATTAATGTATTTTAACTTATATGTTTCACATACTAGTATATAACCGAAGCTGTAGATTGTAGATTATTGTTTTTTAGTTAGCTTACATAGCAGATAAAAGATAGATAGTACTTAGATAGTAAATAAACCACATATTTGAGCTTTAAACAATTACATTCTCGACTAAAAAACTCTTAAAATTGCATTTCATGACACAATAACAGTAATATTTTTAAATTTCGCGGACTTTCTCCTATGCTGTTGACGCAACCTACTATGAAAAGTGCTAAACAAAATAAACGTATTACTTGATGGCAACAAACTGCTTTTGTCAAGTTATAGCGAGAACATATTTAGATCAGGCATACTACTGGCATACTATTGGGTCCTAAAGTGGGACCCATCTCTTCACCACACCGGCCCAAAAGTTATGAAAGACATCGTTAAAATCGTCCGAGTGACTACAGTGGCTCAATCTTAAGTTTATCAAGCGACGGGAATACTTTTTGTGTGAGTGTTCATGCCGCTTGATAAACTTAAGATTGAGCCACTGTAGTCAATCGAACAATTTAACGATGTCTTTCATAACTTTTGGGCCGGCCAGTTTCAATCCCTTAAGAAGCCTATGGAGGAGTGATCCAGCTCTCAGATATAATCAAAAACATCTTAATTTGTGTTCTGAAGATGAACGAAAGTCTTACGGTGTTGGAACAACATGAGGGGCAGTGTTGTGCAAGTTACTTCCAAACTGTAATACATTAGGTATTACTTGTTACTGTTATTTAAAAGTAATTCATTACCTTACAATATTACTGTCCCAGAATTGTAATGGTTACATTACTCACGTATTACTTTTGAGTTACTTTCACCAAAATAACTAAGTAGAACTTAACTTTTGGGCTGTAACGATATGCAATATGAAACCGAAATCGCGATTCGCCACACGACTCAGATCCACGAACCTACAGAATCGCGACACACCTCTTCCAACTCCAGCGTTATTCTCCTTACCGTCCAGATCCAATGCTGCCTTATCTTTAAATTAGGCTATTAGTATTATTTGAAGTTAACATTTGAAGTTAACCACAAAACTAGTTGAGGATAAATTATTGAAAATTGGGGAAGTCCAGCATTATGGACATGACATTTGCAGTCAAAACTTGAAATAAAAATTCTCAGAAAATACATGTATTGAAACGTATATAGGCTACTTCCTTAAAGGACTCCAGACATTAGACAAATATCAGTCTATGTTTTATTTTTAATATTAGGGAAAAGACACACATTCATGCGTGACAAAAAAATAGGAGGCAAAATCGATTTTTTGTAATTCTGTTAATTACACTGCGCAAATCGGATGAGGAAGGGTTGGCTCTCCAGTCTCCATAGAACTTAAAATATTCATTTTATTTTAGCTTTCGTGTTCGCATTTATGAGGAAAAAACAATGTTACAGACGCGACCGCTCTGAACTGGCACTAAAAGACTGCTTTAAAACTTTCACATAGTCTGTTGCCTTTAAGAAGTAAAAGCAGACAATACACTGTAATACAACTGTAATACAAGCCTCACTGAACATGTAACGAGTAAAATATTACTGAAAATTGATTAGTAATGCCTTACACTACTGCGTTACAGCAAAAAGTAATATGTTACTGTAATGTATTACTTTTGTAATGCGTTACTCCCAACACTGATGAGGGGTGAGTCATTACTGACAGAGATTTCATTTTGGGGTGAACTATCCCTATAAGTTTAGCCTCAATTTGATGCTTCCATGCTTCACATTGGGAACCACACATTCACACTCTCTACGTCGAACAAAGACACAGCGGTTAAACCAAACATCTCAAATCAGTTTTCCACTGATTTAATGTCCATTCCTTGTGTTTCTTGGCCCAAGCAAGGTTCTTCTGCTTGTTGCTCTTCCCAAGTAATAGCTTATTTGCCGCAGTTCGACCATGAAGGCCTGACTCCCGCCGTTTCCTCTGAACAGTGGCTGTTGAAATACTGTATGTCTGCCACTCCGAGAAGCATTTATGTACAGTATCTGTAGCCGTAATCTGAGGTGCTGTAAATCTGCAGCTGGTAATACTAATAAACGTATCATCTGTGTAGCAGAGGTAGCTATTCGTCTTCCGTTCCTGGGACGGGCCACAGAAGAGCCAGTTTCATCATAGTGTCCGATGGTTTTGGCGACTGCACTTGGGGATTCATTTAAAGAGATTCTTGAGATTTTTCGGATTGATGGACTATCTTTTCTCATTACTTAACTGAGTGTTTCTCGCCATTATATGGATTTGTACAGTAGTTGTAGTAGCACTAATAGGGCTATTGACCCTGTACACACCCTTCATCTACAGGAATGATGACTGATAGTCTAAAAGCACATTAAAAGGCAAGAAATGTCACAAATTAACTCTTGGTAACATGGTATACTTGTGAATTGAAAACCATTCGAGGTTACTTTAGACAATTTAAAATATAAAACATGTTCTGGGTTGTTCTTGTTCATTTCTTTCGGTCTTCAGTCGAAAATAAATGAAGGTTTTTGAGGAAAACTTTGCAGGATTTTTCTCCTTAAAGTGGACTTCGATGGGGTCCAACGGATTGACGGTCCAAATTGCAGTTTCTGTACACGATCTCAGTCGAGGAATAAGGGTCTTATCTAGACAAACCATTGGTAATTTTCTAAAATAAATAAAAAAATGTATATACTTTTTAACCACTAATGCTCTTGCAATGGCTCTGCGATGCGCCACGGATTACATAGTAATCAGTTCATTTTAACCTTCAATAGTATATAGTAGTGCCAACTACATTACTATAATATGATCTCCTGTTTAGTTTACAGCCTTATTGAGAGATTTTATTTCTTTGAGAAAATTTGCCATGTTCTGTACCTGATATATATCCATAATAATCTATTTCAGAACTTCAAGCTTGTGAATTGAAATCGAATCGTGAAATTTGTGTCAATAACCCGCTTAAAACAAAACCCCTCATCTCTCCTCAACAAGCTGCACAATTTAGGATGAGTTATTTAATAAAAGTTTGCTTTCATGATGGTCATTGCGATCTCTTCTAAAACTCTAGGGTCTTTTTCTTTCCAAAACCACTAACAGAAAGAACCGAGTGACCTGTAGCTGAGACACAAAAATTAATAATCGAGACATTCATTAAAGGCCGGGGAAGATGGAGGGAATGGGGGAAAGAAAACAAACAAGACATCTGTCCGTCGCTCTCATTGTTTGCTGTGTCCAGTTTCTCACAGGTCGCGATGCCCCTTTTCACAGCAGATGGGAGACACAGGGAGCGAGAGCGAGGAAGAAAAACAAGAAATGAAAACAGGGAAGATTTATATCAGAACCCCACTGTTAGGATTCTCCATCATCGCCACAGCGACTGGCTGCCTGGCAACGGGATACACAATGGCGCGGTAACCCTGGCGACAGCGTGTTGGACTGTCTGGCGGACAGGAGAGCTTCAGACGACACGGTAAAGGTGTGTGTGTGTGTGTGTGTGAGAGAGAGTGAATCAGTCTATTGACTTTATTAAACTCTCAATATATCCATTCATGAGACTGATATTATTATTGACACACACACACACACACACACACACACAGAGTCTCATTCTCTCTCTCACACACACTCTCTGACACAATGTAGTTTCAGTTCAATAGCGCTTTATTGGCATAACTGTCAAAATGCAAAATGCCACAGAAAGGCAGAGTGTAATTAATGAACATGCACACAAACACACGGTGTGTTTAATGTTGGCTGACAGGTGGATCTATTGTTGTTGTCAGTGAAGTTTCTTCATAGACATACAGGCTTGATTAAAGGGCTTGCTATATACACATGGACATCTGTGTTTTATATATGTAATATGAGCCAAATGTGTGTGTATGTGTCAGTCAATGCTCACATAATGGTTTTTTATGCAGAACTAAAAGGCTTTTGAGTATATTAATACATTCACACACACACACACACACACACAATCTCCCCCAGCACATGCTTCATATGCTCTATAGAAGATATGCATATTATTCTGCTTGTATTTTTTATTTTATTTAATTTTTTGTTATTTTGTTGATGTAATCTTTGTATTTTTGTTATTTGTCTAGAGACTACGGATGTAAATTAGCCCTGTGGCTATAATCTGGCATGTTTACGTCTGTTTTGTTGTCTCAATTCAGATGTTCATTAATGTGCATTGTCCCTATCAAATAAATAAATAATAAAATATGATGTCACTGTAGGCTGAGTCACAAAACACATGTGAAATGGGAAAGAGCTGTGCGACTGACTGTGTAGATTCAACAAGAAAACAGAGAGATTTCTGAAGTTTTACCTTTCACTAAACATATTTAGATATGATATTATATTATGAAATATGATGTATATTAGATGTGATATTTCACTAAACATATTTAGATATTAGATAACAAGAGGTAAAAACAATATAAATACTGTTTGTTTTCTCACACAAACCGCTCATTTCGTGTCTTAGGCCATCAGTGTGTACTTATATTTATGAGTCATTAAATCATGTTTAATTTTAACTTCTCTGTGCATGCTCTTTTAGGTGGACCCCCTAAACCTGCATTATATGACTGACAGACACGAACGGTTTGACCGAAAAATGTCAAAATTGAAAATACTGCGGAAACAAAGACACCTACATATTGGATGCCCTTGAGGTAAGATAAAACATATCAAAAATTTATTTCAAAGTGAACTATCCCTTTAAGTCCAGTCCTGTTGCGGGACGTGTTGCCACTCAGGGAGTGTGTTCTGGTGGGGTGTTTTTTTATTCTCTTTGATGTCATAGTTCCCCACTTTGAAAAACGAGTCGTTTGCTGAGCCTGGTGTCAATAAAAGCTTTTATTTGGACATTTTCAGTTCTGAAACTTACAGGATATTCTCATAATAGACGAATCCGACGAGCGTTCTGTGTAGGCTGCCATCTCGTGGCGACGCCATTACTGAGCTGTTAAACCGGCATAGACATGTGCACCGGTATGTAAACAAACCTCGGTGATATTTTTTACTGTCTATGGTGATAACGCGAAAGCACCCTCGATGACAGCTACAGCCAGGCAGAATGACTTGTTGGGTTGATGATGTTAGACAGTGGCCTCCAGTCACAGATGAAGGTACAAACGATCTTACAGATTATTTATGAAAATAGCTTGGCAAGTTGGCAAGCTAGCTAGGCTAACATTTGCTAACGAGGAAACTATAAAAAAAGATCTGTCCATTTGGCAACAATAAATAAATGAATGAAATCAAAAAAACAAATTCATGTTTTTCCTTTGTGTCCATTATTTATCTCATTTTCACATTGCAACGGGCAAGGGTAAGGTAACGTTACAGCTAGAAAATATACATAATATCGACCAATTGGTGTTTTTAAACCATGGAAAGAGGTCAATATAACAGCAGGAAAACAATTATGTCACATAACGTTACATTTAGCTCAGGAAAGCCATTTAATGACCATAGCATGTTAATTGAATAGAAAAAATAGCAAGAGAGGAGATTTTGCCGATCACTATATCACATATTTATTATATTTTTTTACTTATGTCATTAAATAATTGTTATTATACGCAAATGTCCGCGTCTTGTACTCGCCCAGGAAATCTGTAAACCGTACGGCACCAGACAGGGGCAGTCGACCCGGGGTATTCACAATGTTTTCTCTTCAAAATTGAAATTTTACTGCCACCATTGAAACAATTTATAACGGAAACTGTTTACCCACTCGACATTATACAAGGGCTAACGTTGTAACGTTAGTGACAGTCGTAAATCGCGGGCTGTTTATTCCAGTGGACGCAAGTTGCAACTAAAACAATAGGAGGCAATGGCGCAACGCTACCCAGCAACAGCTCAGTAATGGCGCCCCGCTTACTTCCGGTAGTTTCGCCGGATTCGTCTATATGATGACCTCTTAGATATATTGCTTATATTATATATACAATTCAACCCTAAGGCCGTGTGTCCACCAAAGCGTTTTTAGCCAGCTGAAAACGCTAGACGCTCTGCTGAAGACGCCGTGCTTTGGGCGCTTGAGAGCGTTTTTTCTGTTGAGACGTTTCGTTGCTATGATACAGAATATATGCAACAGTTTGAATGTTGTGACAGTTGGTCGGTGTGGTTTAGTCCCGCCCCTCCTCCACTGTGATTGGACGGCTGGGTAAAATCTGACAGTGATGAGCGCTGCGTTTTATCCAAAGTTGAATATTTTTCAACTCCCAGCGACCAGTAAAAACGCAGGGCGCTCGGTGCTTCAGCGTGAAAAAAAACGCTCAGCGACTCGTCACGCTCATGCCGTTTAAAAAACGCGGCGCTCCCATTGAAAACAATTGAAAACATACGCCAGGCGCGTGGAAAAACGCTTTGGTGGACACACGGCCTAAGTGCGTTACACACCACTGCTGAAATACACCCGCGTTTGGTGTTAATGTCAAGCCCCTTAACATTGTCAAACCCATTTAAAAGTAAGTAAGACTAAGAAAAACTAAGAATAAAAAATATAAACATAAAATTATATTTAATAAATATAAACATATATATATATATATATTTATTTATATGAAATATATATTTATATAACATATATAAATATATATATATATATATATATATAATATATATATATAAATTAAAAAATATAAATTAAAAATTAAAAACACATGACTATAGTTGGCTAACAATGCTTTCGGGTACTCGGCCAAGGTGGTCGATCTTCAGAAACAGGATTGGGCATCTCTGGTCTAGTGTAACAGGTTATAGTGGGTTTGTAAATATTAAATATGGTATACTTGGCTCATATGTCTTTGAGTGTGCGAGACTTTCACCTTATTATCAAAGTGTGAGATAGCAAAGCGGGTCATGACCGGAGACAAAGAGGAAATTAAAACACTGAGGTACATATGAAGAGAGATGAAAGGGAGAACATGGAGATAGATGATTAATTTCCATTTCTCTCTCTCTCTCTCTCATGTTCTTTTTCTCCAACTCGCTTTATTCTGTTTCAAAAGGCGGAAAGCAAAAGAGAGAAATCGAACGAAGCCTCTCCTCCACTTATAAACATGCAGGGCTGAAACCGTTTCCACGACAACATGTCTCACACATGTGGAGTGATGGAGGGAGAGATGAAGAAGGGGAAATGGAGGGGGTGAAGGAAACAGCGAGTTGTCTTCTCCGCTTTCCGTCGGGGGGTTTTGCCGCTTGTTTGCGTGCGTCTGTGAGATGTGTGTTTGTATAGTGTCTTCCCTCTGTTTGTTTCAGTGTCAAACCACACATGACATTTAGTTTCCCAAATTTCCATCAGTGCTCTCTCCGTCTGTAAACATCCTGGGCTAGTCGCATTTCTTTCCAACCACAACAGTTTCCACGCACTGTTTCTTCATAAACACCTGTGTGATTGTGTTGTGTGTTCATATTCCTTGCGAAGACGGCCCAGCCCTTTTTCTAAAAATTGGCTTTAGTGATAATATTGCGTTAATGAATCGGAATCGCCATAGATTGTCATTAATATCGATTGTTGGTGGAACATTATGCTGTATTTCAGTGTTGGGAGTAACGCATTACAAAAGTAATACATTACAGTGACATATTACTTTTTGCTGTAACGCAGTAGTGTAAGGCATTACTAATCAATTTTCAGTAATATTTTACTCGTTACATGTTCAGTGAGGCTTGTATTACAGTTGTATTACAGTGTATTGTCTGCTTTTACTTCTTAAAGGCAACAGACTATGTGAAAGTTTTAAAGCAGTCTTTTAGTGCCAGTTCAGAGCGGTCGCGTCTGTAACATTGTTTTTTCCTCATAAATGCGAACACGAAAGCTAAAATAAAATGAATATTTTAAGTTCTATGGAGACTGGAGAGCCAACCCTTCCTTATCCGATTTGCGCAGTGTAATTAACATAATTACAAAAAATATATTTTATTTGTCACGCATGTGTCTTTTCCCTAATATTAAAAATAAAACATAGACTGATATTTGTCTAATGTCTGGAGTATATACGTTTCAATACATGTATTTTCTGAGAATTTTTATTTCAAGTTTTGACTGCAAATGTCATCATGTCTATAATGCTGGACTTCCCCAATTTTAAATAATTTATCCTCAACTAGTTTTGTGGTGTAGGTCTACGTATTTTATAATGTTAACTTCAAATAATACTAATAGCCTAATTTAAAGATAAGGCAGCATTGGATCTGGACGGTAAGGAGAATAACGCTGGAGTTGGAAGAGGTGTGTCGCGATTCTGTAGGTTCGTGGATCTGAGTCGTGTGGCGAATCGCGATTTCGGTTTCATATTGCATATCGTTACAGCCCCAAAGTTAAGTTCTACTTAGTTATTTTGGTGAAAGTAACTCAAAAGTAATACATGAGTAATGTAACGCATTACAATTCTGAGACAGTAATATTGTAAGGTAATGAATTACTTTTAAATAACAGTAACAAGTAATACCTAATGTATTACAGTTTGGAAGTAACTTGCACAACACTGCTGTATTTCAATCTCCATCGACTAGCTATGAGTTTAATGTGGTTATACACTCTCAGAAAAAAGGTACAAAAGCTGTCACTGGGGCTGTACCTTTTCAAAAGGTAAACTTTTGTCCATTTCAGGAGCTAATATGTACATTTTAGGTGCTAATATGTACATTTTAAGTGTTAATAAGGTCATTTTAGGTACTAATATGTCCATTTTAAGTGTTAATATGTCCATTTTAGGTGCTAATATGTCCATTTTAGGTGGTAATATGTACATTTTAGGTGATAATATGTACATTTTAGGTGGTAATATATACATTTCATGAGCTAATATGTCCATTTTAGGTGCTAATGTGTCCATTTTAGGTGCTAATATTATGTACATTTTTAGTGTTAACAAGTGCATTTTAGGTACTAATATGTACATTTTAGGTGCTAATGTGTACATTTTAGGTGCTAATATGTCCTTTTTAGGTGGTAATATGTACATTTTAGGTGGTAATATGCACATTTCATGAGCTAATATGTCCATTTTAGGTGCTAATATGTCCATTTTAGCTGCTAATATGTAAATTTTTAGGGTTAATAAATACATTTTAGGTAATAATATGTACATTTTAAGTGTTAATATGTACATTTTAGGTGCTAATATGTCCTTTTTAGGTGGTAATATGTACATTTTAGGTGGTAATATGTACATTTCATGAGGCTAATATGTCCATTTTAGGTGCTAATATGTACATTTTTGGTATTAATATGTCAATTTCATGAGCTAATATGTCCATTTTAGGTACTAATATGTACATTCTAGGTGCTGATATGTACATTTTAGGTGCTAATATGTACCACTAAGGTACCAATATGCAGCCTTTGTGTACAAAAGTGTACCTTTTGAAAAGGTACAGCCCCAGTGACAGCTTCTGTGTTTTTTTTTCTGAGTGATAATGCTAATTTTTACAGCTTTTAAAGTCCCCGTGAACCGGAAGTTGCAAACGATTTTTCTCCAGTGCTGTGACGTATTTCCAAGTGAAACGGAATATTGAACAGAGGGCAGGGTTTTACTCTAGCGCTCCTCCTCTCCATCTCTCGCTCATAGCAAACTAACGGTTTGAGGGGAGTGGTTAAGCGTTTCCCCACCCAAACTGTGAAACCTACGTCATCAGAAAAAGAAACCGTTCCAGA